GAGGGGGGTCATTTAGACACGGTCTGGAGAAAGGCACCCCAGAGGGACCAAATCACACTTTTATGTGATTTGACCTATGAAAGTGGACACCAGATGCTCTACGACTCCCACGTAGTGAGGTGACAAGCTGGAACGTATGGATCAAGTGGTCGGGCCTCTTAGTCGCCTTCCTATGAACTCAGTTACAGAATCTGGCGTTTACATGTTTCCACCTAGCTGAACGTCGTTCATAGCAAAAGCCATTCCATAATCTCTAGACCAAACCCTCATCCCTCATTTTCTTTTATAAAGTTGTTGAATTCTGGCTAGTCAAAAATCTGTGAATGGTGAGAGAGAAACACACAGCATTGAATATTGAAATTTCGGGGGTCAAGCCAACAATGAGAAATATGTGAAACGTGACGTTGTTGTTCTGCCTGTCCAAGGTGTGTGAGTAAGATTATAGAACCAAGAACTCCACTGAGTACATGTATTGTCTTGATAACTATTGCGTGGAAGAAACATCATAAAACAAATACAATAACAGAAACAAAGAATTCCATTAATTCTTTATTTTCACGCAAAATATTACGGATCATTGAACAATACTGCTTTCTCTACTTTTCTGGTGGGAAGTCTACTGGAGTCAAAATATTTTATAATTATGTAAGAAAAAAAAGAATATTCTATATTTAGCACTTGAGGTGAAGTTATACGAAAGGAACTCTACTGCAAGCAATTCAGTAATATATAAAGTATGCCTTACAAGAATTTTAAGAATAAAATACTGTTGTCTTGAGCTGAAACCATGCCTAGTTTATTTTTTAACGTACTCGACAGAAGAAGAAAAAGAGAAACGGCCGGAAGCTTTCACTTATTATGTGACAGTGTGACGTAGAGACAGAAATCCCCCAACAGAACCTCTCAACTCTGTACAAAGGACATACAGGACAGTAATCTTGTGGTTGAACCGATGTTCATTATAATGTCACTTCTGTGCCCACTTCTATTCATTCCCAATCACTGCCAGCAAGTCTTTTGAAAGAAAATTAAGCGTATGTCTTTTCTTACATGATCTTCTGAACCAATTCTCTGATCTACCCTTCCTCATTCACTTTTCCGCTGAGTTATATAACCTCCAAATCCACCCAGGCCTGTTGAGTTAACAGGTTTATTTCTCGTGGTAAAGTTTCCCACCCAAAAAAACCCAAAACAACAACAACAGCAACAAAAACCCCGATAAACAAAACAACTTTCCCCACACTTCTGGCGTCCAAATTCATCAGTATCATTTTTCTATTTGTATGAATAAACACGACCTTGTAGCGCGTGTCACAGCTCACAGACAACATTCCGTGAACATCCGATAAGCTCACATGACAGGTTATACAACCGTTAAGAGAAAGCGACTACAGCAACAACAAAAATGAAATAGTAAAAGAGCAGTTTAAAGCTTTCCCAAGGACTGTCACTTTAGTCTCTCTTTCCCATTTGTGGATAAATACAAATCGAAACCCTCCTGAAAGAAAAGTTTTGGAGAAGAACAATGCTGAAGTTAAAGCCACTGAGAGTTGAGAGTAAAGTAATGATATTAAATCTTTATTGTAGTAATGCTGTTCATCTTTTATTATACAGACACATGAGTATCTGAATCTACTAAAGTTATAGAATTAATCATGAAAATGTTTCTACGAATTCTGATTAGACGGCGCGGGGTATCGACGCATGAGAGGTGATGACATCACAAAAGCCTTGTTAACTCGGTCGGCATCGTGTCCTGCCGCAATTTCATTCCTCTGCATTGGCTGTCTCTGTTGGAAGTAAAGCAAATTGAATATCACAGTAAACTATTACATAGTAAACTCACGGGCGCACTGGTATTATAAGTCTCAGTAAAACAATTAACCTAGCCTGAGGAGATTCTATATATGAATGTACATAATGTACCCCCCCCCCCCACTCTCCAATACATAGCAATATACAGAGGCAGAAATAGGTAGTTATATAGTGCACAGTAAGAATGGACAACAGACTGCTCTTTAGCACTATATTCAATTTTACTTCAACTGGGCTGAGAGCTATATTCCTTAGAACTTTCTCTCTCCTAGTCCCTTATCACTCCATTATCAATTACCAAAAAAGTAGCCAGAAGCATTACTACAATATATAATGTGTGTGTGTACATATACATATACTATATTATATACATATACTATACATGTATACATAATGTTTATATACAAATTATGTACCTTGTCTGAACGGCCACCTCAGGAAGAAAAAAATGGTTGTCTTAGAAAGGTGTGGACACCTTACACGGTGCCATTTTAGAGTAAAATAATCGCAAAGGGAAAATGGAACGGTGCTGTTTGTACAGGTGATTGCATTATACAGGTGGCCCTTATAGCAGATTCTACTGTATATACACAATCCTCAGCAAGGGGCTCTCCTCTCACCGATTTCCTTGAGCCTGGCCACGGTCATCTTGCGCACCTCCACCAGGGTGACTTGCACGTCAAAGTCCTTCTCCAGGAGTTGCTTCATCTCCACGCCCATTAGAGAGTCCAGACCCAGGGTGCCCAGAGTGACGTCATCAGCAAGATTATCCATGGTGTTCATACCTGGGAGGAAAAAAGACTTGGCATGAGAGAGATACCAGTGACACGTTGTGTACAGGGCTTTCCACCAAGATTATGTCCATTGAGCTTAATTTCTTTATCTTTTTCTTTTTTTGTGGGGGGGGGGGGGATAACACAAGAAGGGAAAAAAGAACCGTGATAAACCAGAAACTAAATGCATTTGTCCATTTCTTTACGACTGTGTTTGTTACTTGACATGTTTTTGTTTTTTTAAATCTGGGACTGGTTCTCTGCCATTTGTACACTTCCAAGTGGAATGAATAAAGCAGTGTGTCCATCTATGATGCATGTATGTACGTGTGAACACACATTATTAAGTCTATGCATAAAAGGGTGCTATATTTTATGTGAGAACTGAATGTGGCAAAAACATAATGAGAGTTGAAATTATTATAGTATTATCTATGAGGTGCAGGAAAGCTTCAGTGTTAGTTTAAGCGTACTTTTGAGAGTGTCACTCACCAAAGACCTTGCAGGTGGCAGCCATGAGAGACTTTTTGGCTCCTCCTGCTCCAGCACTTCTTCCCTCCTGATTTTTCTGTAGAGACACGGGCTGGTGGGAGGCGACCACGTCTTGATTCTTCAGAAGCAGGAAAGTGTCCATGCAGTGCAGACATGAGTCAATCTTTTGAATGCCCAGGCCCATGGCTAAAGGGAAAACGGTGAAAGTCGATATCACATAAAAAGAAGATATATTTCTTTGTCGTGAATAAAGACAATCTGGACACAGAAAAGGATGTCTTGGTGAAGCAGTGGCTTCTGAAACAAGACATCAGGCCAAAATAATGGTTGCATGTGTAAACCAAAGTGACAGTCGCAAATGTTCAGATCAAACCTACGCCAGAAGGATGCTCAAGGAGTTCCAGGATTTACTATTTTAAAAAATATAGTAAAAAAATTAAAATGGAAATTATACCTCTTTCCTAAAAAATATCCAAGACAGAATAATGTTTATGGTATAGTTAAAGATGGGCTGGAAATACAGCTATAAGCAATACTTAAATACTATTTAGAGATCTACGTTGCATCTTAAGATGTTGAACGGTCTATATGACATAAGTACCTATGAAAAGCTGGACCTTTGTAAAGGGTTTAACACAGAAAAATATTGCGACTCCATTTCAAAACATTAAATTCTGGACGTGTCTAGGGTGATTTAGAAATTATGATATTGTTTTTGAAGTGCAGGGAAATTCATCCCGTTGATCTGAGATACAAAGGTACTGAAACTTGTTCATAGTTTACTTAATTTCAAGCACACCATACACATTACTCGGTATCACTGCTGAAATCACCGCAGTACGATATACACAATGGCTTGAGAAAGATTAACGACAGTTGGTGATTGAGGGTGCGGTGGCGGCGCGGTTGGGGCGCTCGTCTCCGAAGCGGAAAGTCCGGGTTCGAGTCTCGGTTCGGACACGGATATTTTTCGTCCCCTCCTGCCCACCCAGCAGTAATGGGTACCTGACTTCAGTTCGGGAAGTAAAGGCGGGGTGGAAAGGAACTGGCCATCCTACCACAATATGTCGAAGGCTCGAACCCGGACTTTCCGCTTCGGAGAGGTTATATGCAACTTAATTGTATTCCTTGCAAGGACGTTCACTCGTGGACTACTCCGATGATCATTGCTATGGAAAGCCTGTTACTTGTGGATGGCAAGTATGGCTGCAGACATTCATTTTGAAGGCATCATTGATCTTTAAGAAATGACCTTAAAAATCAGAGGTTTTAGAACATCGAGAGTTAGGTAGTTATAACTAAACAGGTTATAAAAGCTACCCTGACATTGGAGAAACAGTTAAAACATTTTTACAGTCAACTAGGCTTCACGTGCCTCAATGAACCTATTTTTCAGGAGATGCAGCTGTTATGGTATTTTATGTTGCCTTGTAATCGTGTAGCATCAAGCTGGAACCGTAAAGCTTGGTCAGTGCTTTTGTTATCAAATAGAGCGAAAGCACTAACGCCCTGCGGAGTAGGAACAAACTTTTATAACTAATTCTACCTTCAAAAGTGGCCACCATGGCCTGTCCCTCTCGTTCAAAGCCAGTCTTGACCATGAAGGCTCCCACGTCACCCACGGCACCCCACTGGATGGCCATACCTACAAGAGAGAGAGAGAGAAGGTGCAAAATCCAGGGCAGAAAACGAGTAACGGACAAAGACTATAGAAGAAGCATTTGGACTATAGTAATTACTGTATCAACAGATACCATTGGCAGGAGAGAGGTAGCATACAGATTCCAAAGCCAGGACAGAGGATAATCAAGCTACATTTACTTTTGTTGCTATTAAACCATTTGGCACATACTTCTATGTACTATGCTAGAGCGCAATAAAAATGAACATAATAAAACAGAGAAATATAAATGCAGGAAATATTTGTCACGACGTGGTGGAACCAGGCACTCGTCATGTTTAGACATGTAGAGTTATTAGTATTATTTCAAAGCTTATTAATTTGTCTTACTTTCAATGGAAAAAATAGTCAACTATCTTGAAAAAGTCGAAATATTTGCTATTGAAGGAGGTGAGGGTCACCTAGTTTCAGAAGTAAAATCAGCGAGCGAATGGCCGCCAAAGTTTGGCGACTTCCAAAGCTTGAGAGTCCTAAGAAACTGCAAAGTTACATTTTTTGTCTTAAATCAACCTTTTTCTGCAAGTTCCAAACATAAATTGTGTTTTTAAATGAACCTTATAGGTGTCAAGTCCACAAACAAACAAAATTGATCAAAAATATCAAATAGAGAGAAAAATGCCAGTTTCTTCAATTTCATTATTTTGACGAACACCGGATTTCACCATGATGCCTCAAATATTAGTATTGGGTCTTTGTGGTATATTTTCTCCGGCAGACAAACAACCAGAAATGTCAAAACCCAGGAAGGAAGGGAAACAATGTTAAAAACAGTAACTTGACCAACAGACCCACCTGGCAGCCCGTCAGCTTTCCTCTTCTCACACGTTCTCTCCATCACGGAGTTTCCAAACCCGTAGTTTGTCTGTGCGGCGTTACCCCAGCCTGAGGCCATGCTGGAAAAGGGCACAAACCACCGAAGTTCTGACCCACACAGCTCACGAGACGCCTGGTCCATGAAGATTGTATCGTTGATTTTACTGTTGGCCGCTTCAGAGAATGTTTCACGATTCAGTTGGGAAAGGAAACGGTCATGCAGAACCTGAACACAGAGGAAGAAATAAGTGTATACTACAACGATGTACATGAGCAGATGCCTTCAAATCCAGGAACATTAGTGTGAGTCCAGAAATACAAGAGTTTTAGACCTAAAATACATTCTGTGACTTTCGAAAAACATGGTTATTGGTGTTAACAAGTGGGTGCAAATATGAAACTGAGAACGAGAAGGGTTATTTCTTACACACTATAACATTGCAATCCTTTAGCCTTCCTTATTTAAAAGCATCTTTACTGAAAAAGGTTTGTTGAAAGCTGAAGTTGTTCTGAAACGACAGCAATATAATGTCATACAGGGTACAGACTCCTCGCATTTCAGAATGTCCGAGCCTATTGTTACTTTCACGACTACGATTGAAATGAATACTGACACACTATAAACGTACCAGAGAGAGTACAAAAATGCCTCCTACAGGTCCCATCTGCTGAGCTTGCTGTATAAGTGCACGTGCATCAGCGGTGGACTTGAGCGTGGTGGTCACCACAGAGATGTTAGCTTTGTAGTTCTCTCGGAGGATCTTGATCTTGTGCTCCTGGTAGCCATTGCTCACACCACGCCTAGAGCCATACAGCAGAAGGGACAGGGTGTAAACACGGGAAGGTAAGTCGAGTTGGAGAGGGCTAACAAAGTCGATAGAAAGAAGAAGATCGTATAATGCTGAAAAAATGGTGAAATGGTATAAGTTTAACGCCTCTATCAACATTTGTAGTTTTTAAGAGGGGAGACTTTCGAGTTTAACGTCCAACTCCGAAAGGACCGAGCTAAATAGGAAATTTGGGTAAAGCACTTTTCTAAAGGACACAAAGTTGGACCTAGCTGAGGCTCGAACCCCCCCCCCCCCCCCTCGAACCAGCAAAATCATGATTTCGGGTCCTTAGCCAAACCTCTAGGCTAATAACGACACCACTTAATATTAGAACAAAGTGTTATTCTCCTCAATTCCACCCCCCCCCCCCTACTTTTCAGCGTTAGCACGTAAGACTTAGTGCTTCAATGACTACATTTCTACACCAGTAGCCACGTCTATTAAGATCGCTGTCGCTGAGAAACTCAGGCATTATTTCATCTCCTCTTCTATTCCGAACTAAATACTGGAGGGTAAGGCTTCTACCTGATTGTAACCAATCGATGAGGTCAGGAACTTTGACCTGAGTGGAAGTCTTATAACGCACTTTTAAAAACAAAAGCAAGTTCTCTAAAACACACCTGGAGGTGAGCACGATGTTCCTGGCACCCCTCTGCACCAGCCAGTGTGTTAGTTCCAGTCCAAACCCTCCAAGGCCACCACACAAGATGTACACTTTCCTGGGGTCACAGGTCGCACGCGGGTTAACAGGAAGACTCAAGGGGTGAGAGAGGAAACGGTTGTAGGACTCCTCCTCGCGAACCTAACACGGGTAAAATGGGACTAAATTGAATCTCAATCGATAAAAAAGCCCCAAAAGAGAGCACAACAACAAATAAGTGATTGGACAGATGGCTGAGTGTACATCCGGTACCAGTTGGCCAGATCCAACTCAGGAGAGCTGCTTTAAAAGCTCAAAATGTTGTAAAAGAGAAACCTTAAACAGTCAAAATCTCATTGGAAAGAGATACTTAAAACACTGAAATTCTCATTGAAGAAAGGTACTTAAAACCTCAAAACTTCTGGAGAGAGCCATTTAAAACACTCATAACCTCAAAAGAAAGCTTCCTAAAACACTCAAAAGCTCATGATTAATGAGCCATGTTTTCCCATAAGTAGAGAACTTTCAAATTCCTTTTCCTGCCCATTGAATTTGAGACCCTCATACTCAAATAGACATATGCACAGGTAATTTCAGGTGTTGCTGATACAGGTACTCGTTGCAAAAGGAGCCTCCCACAGACGGTAACATGTTATGCTTTTGTCCGGCTTGAAAGTGAAAGTCTTCCGAGGCAATGTGAACAAAACATACAGATGAGCGATGGGGACAGCTTTTTCTTGTGTTGTATTTCCCCGAATCTGAGTTTCAGTATCTTTTCATTCATGCATATTATTTCATCTTCCAAGAAAAAGATTTTCGCATTCTGACATTTTCCATAAATATATCTCACAACGTAATTTTGTCTAATACAAAACGTAACTTACCTGTTATCTAGAAAAAAAATGTAATATACATGAGCATTCACTCTTGGTGTGTGGATATGTGCATGTGTTTCAAAGTTACATGAGGTACCTCAATGACGACTTTTCCAAGCACCCTGTTCTCTGAAGCGGCTTGGAAGGCCTGGCTGATCTGCGCGGCCTCGTAAACGGTGGCACCGATGGGCTTGATAACTCCTCCTTCCAAGTCCTTGCCAACACACTGGATGAGCTTGGCATGGCTGGCCTTGTCGTTGAGGATGACCACTGTGTCTACACGTGTGTACGTCATGTTCTTCTGCATCAGTTTGGCCGCTGCAGACCACACAGGGATAACAGTTTGGGACATGAGGGACAATACAGTTTGCAAAATAGAACACCAGGACATTTGATCAGCGTGTCACAGCGATAGCTAAGATATACAACAGTTGATGACAGCAAGGATACCGTTTATGTGTATACGAGTCTGCAAGAGTTCGGAGGATGCCTTCATACATACATTATATCAATGTGCTACAGGAAGGGAACATTAAAATAAAACAATTTGTGAAATCAAGGACGACTATATACGGTGCATGTCGCTTTACGTCCTTCCCAGCTGTCCACAAGAGTCACAATAAAACACTATTGCAAAAAGTACTGATGCAGGAGGTTCTAGTTTTCTGCACAAACTTGCTTTGTGAGAGATGTTTTATGGAAAATGTCAGAATGCGGGAATCTATTTCCTGAAGGACAAAATTATACGATTGACTGAAAAGACACTGAACGAGGTGACTCACCGAAAGCTTCCACAACCTTGCTGGTGTTGGTGCGTCCCATCTCCACGTACTGACCGGAGCTGCCCAACGAGAAGACACTTTCCTCAAACAGTTCGTCATTGGCGAAAGGACTCAGAACCACGTCCACACCTGCAGCCAGCAATATACACGGCTCATCTTCAGAATACTATATATATTTATATATATATATATATATATATATATATATATATATATATATATATATATATATATATATATATATATATATATATATATATATACATACTGTGAGCTTTTAGTTTGGGGTGAAAATTTGAGACAAAGGAGAAACTAATCCTGACCAATAATACAGTAATGAGGACTAACCTAGGTCACATTTCATTATGACACCAGTGAGTGTAGCTTTGTTTCTGTTAACACTCTACACAAACCTTTCTGTGTCCTTAGGAGTGGCCGGTTTCATTATATTTTTGCTCTTATAAACACAAGGATATTTTCAAAGTGACTTTTAGCTGTCAGTGGTGACAGAAACTGAAGATTCAGTACAAATACACCTTAAATACACTAGTCACAGCGATCACAGCATGTCTATACCAAGTGTTCAGTATGAAAAGCTTTTGCAAACTCTCTAGTCAAACTGACATCATGACAAATGATTTTGACCTCTGTTGCAGTTCCTTTTTCACCCATCCCATGATCTTCAGTCTAATCGTATACCCTCAGCTACGCTCGTCACTTTAATATCACGGCAGGCATATCCGTACCTTCACCACTGGTCAATTTCTCAATGCCGTCAGTAATGCTAAGTTCTTGTCTCCGGAATATGATGTGAGACTCTGCTAGTTTGGGGAAATATTTCCTCACATACTTCCTCTCCTCTTCTGACTCGACTGTGGTGAAGACAATGGCGCCGACACTGAGAGCTGTTCGGATGGCAGCCTGGGGGGAGGGGGGATGCATATGAGTAAAATATAGCCACAGCAGCCGGATCTTTCTTTTTTTAGGGGGGGGGGGGGGTGACAGAGAATGATGTATCTCTCCACAAACATACTTCACATCTATTTTTTTTAAGTCTCACTGTGATAAAGTAAAAAATAAACTATAATGCCTGTACAGAAACAACTGAACAATGTTTCCGGTGGATACGACGAACACGAAAGCTGAACATTATCACCTATAGACATGACCCCCCCCCCCCCACTACACACACACAAACATACACACACAAACATACACACGCGCGCAAACACACATGGGCACATTACCAAACTTATACACATTTTTACATCCTTTCACATAAACAGCTGCACACAGCCAAATCCAGACATGATTCTCGACCACACACACACACACACACACACACACACACACACGCATACACACACATACACACACATACATACATATGCACAAACACACACATACACATGCACAGACAGACACACACTTATACCTACTGTCCAAGACTCTATGACCTCGAAAAAAAATAACTTCTGCAAATTGGCCAGGATCTACACCAAATTTGAGAGGACCTTCGTTTGACTCCATAATCTATGCTCAAATTTGAACTGGTCAGATGAGCCTGTTTCATCAGCAATGTCTTGGAGTAACCGAGAAAAGGCCTTTTGCGTTAGAAAATACGCTGAATTTAAATTTGATAAAAAGCTTCAAGCCAGTTATTGGGGGAAATAGGAGTTGATTCGAGATCAAGACCTGGTGCACCTTTGAAAAATCAGTTCAGGGCGTTACAATCAGTTCAAGGTGCGCGAATTTCTGTCAAAAAGCCTTGATTACGGGAGGGAGTAAGCATAAACAAACCATGGGACACCCTGAACACGCACAAAGCATTTGAACAGTGTCATTTGCAGACATTGCGTTTCCAGCCCTTTTGCCACCCACCCGCTCCCCCCTCCCAAAAAACGAGCGCACACACACACACAAATACACAAACGCACGCACACACACACACACACACACACACACACACACACACACACACACACACACAGAGAGAGAGAGAGAGAGAGAGAGAGAGACAAACGCGCTCGCGCACATACACACAGAGCAGGACTTACTGTGCCCATGGCCGTGGCGCCCGAATGTATAAGAATCGTTTGTCCCTCTCTCAACGGATTCTTCACCACAAGAGCGTAGTAGACCGAGAAGTAGGCGTACGGTACAGAGGCTGCGTCCTTCATGGTCCAACTGTCAGGAAGGTCCACAGCGAGACCTCGTGAGTAGTTGACACCAGTGGACAAAGCCTGAAGGATTGGGACATGGGAGGTTTTAATACGAGTTTTGCTACACTTGCAACACAAATAGGTCATATAAGTGTCGACATGAGAGGTGAAACAGTGTCTTATGGACGAAGGTTCGTAACAATGCTCAATCAATCCCTATGAAATAAAAGATATTGTAAGGCTTCACCACAAACAGTGTATAATTATGTGGATAAATGTGTAATATGAATGATAAACACAGATGCCAAGATGACAAATCATGGTTACTAAAATATTAAGTAACAGTAAACCTATAAAGAAAATGTTAATTCAGCATTTGGTGGTTTATAAACATTATCTACAGTAACGCATTTTATAAGGAAGTATACACGTAAATGAGTGCCAAATACGTCGGAATGAAGCATCATGCTGCATGAGCCAACGGAGCGCAAACACTAAAAGCCCAAAGGCTATACTGTGACAGTATCGCTTCCACTCATCGGCTTACCAAACCAGGGACAAGACCAATAACTCTAGTTCCGTTGACACGTCTGCCCACAAACTCGTAGCCGAAGAGACCATGATTGAAACGCCACTGAAGGTCTGCTGTCTTGGGAATTTTTCCTGGCATGAAACAGATCACGGTGGAATCAGTCAATTTGAAAACCATACTTTTTTTTATCAGAAAATGCCATCGACTTTTTTGTGCACATTTAAAGTTTATGAATTTACGAACACATCGCTTTACAGTTTTGAACATAGAATAAGGCAATGTGCGATTTCAAAGGACCATGAAAGTGAATCTAAAACTCAGCAAAAATGACGACAAGTGACAAAGTAATTTTACTCTATATAGATATTCATACACTATTTCAGTAATCTCTGTGCCAGAAATGTTGAGCTCTGGCCTGAAACTTATGAACGCTGAAGACATTATATAACTTTACAAGGTAAAATTGAAGTAATTTCCAACGCTGAATGATAGTAATAAGGCTCAAACATACAAACATGAATCAAATAAGATCAAAGAAATTTGCCCCCTCTAGTAAAACTACAAGTGACGAACAGCTACTAGGTAAGAACTCTAGCACTTATGCAAAGACCCACTCTGTGCACCAGATCTAGAGAAAATCAATACAAATAGACTGCAAATATCTCACATTCGTGCGTGAGAATAATTTAATTTTTCAGACCACAAAATCTGAACAATACTTGGAAGGTATAAAATAGAAAGAGGTAACTGGTATCAAATATACAATTTTGAAGAAGGATTTTTGAGTCATATAACCAAAAAATAACATTTCATTGTTTATACAAAAGACATTTTGATGAGTTATCGAAAAGATTAGGGATTTATTCTTTTAATTTGTCCATGGATGACTCTTTAGAAAATGAGATTTATACAATTTCAAAAGCAGAAAATATTACAAGACCGCATGCATGAAACATTTGCCACGCAAAAACATAACTTTTGTTTTAATGTCATCTTACTTTAGCTTCTGACTTTTGCCAGCAACTATATACAGGTGTGCGTAGACCTACCATGAGCACACAGTATATCTCTGTCATTGAGAGCGCTGTAGTAGACCGAGCAGAATTTGTCGTTGTCTCTCTCCATGAAATCATCAGTGGCTAGCATCTCCTTTCCACTGCTGGTCCACCGGGCACTGCTTGGATCTCCAATCACAGGCACAGTCACATAGGCATCCGCGGCCCGGGCAGAGTTCTTGAAAGATGCTGAAAAGTGGAGAAGATAAAAAATTAAGCGCATGTTCCCAAGTTCCTTACCTAGAGGTCTGTCTCTATCTGTGTTATTTGACATAGTTGTCTGTAACATTAAGTCGCACCCTTCTTGGGGCTCTTTACAGCCATTTAGCTTTGTTCCTCCCACTTCATTACAAGCTGTCTTTCATCATGAGCGAGATGTAATGATACTAAACAGATAATCAATGTAATGTCTTATTGTGGGCATGTGCACGACCACAAGTATTAATGTATGTGTGTGTTTGTTTATTTGTTTGTTTGTTTATGCCTATTACGTGGACGTGAGACTCACTGTCCAGGGGTTTGCGGGCAAAGAATCCCCAACGCCCATCCCTGAAGACATTTTGGTACAGGTCCAGACCGACCACCGTCTTCTGGAGTCGCTCGATGGACAAATCAGCTTTGTCAGTGGTCTCTTCCAAGTTACTGCAGAGAGCAAACCTCACTTTGTCACCTCCAGGCTCTTTGCGCAGACACTGATTGCGGGGAGAGTAAAGTTCAAAGGTCAGTCGACGGGGAGATATGGAAAGAGTGGGAAGAGAAACAGAAGTGTATTGCTCAGTAATGTGGGTAGAAACAGCAAGGAGTGAAAGGAAACAATATTACTATACTAAGGTTGTTAAAGGCCATTGCCCGATTGCCTGATGCAGACAAACGTTGCCGATATGCTTGTAGAATATATTATACTGAAGTTGCCTAGCTTAACAGATTATATTTAGGAGACATTTAGATCCATTTTATCTAGAAGCCTGATAATCTTATCCAAATGGGGTTATCTAAATTACAAAGACCGGTTGAGTCATGTAAGATGAAAGCAAAACGAAATGTCTGGCAAGAAACACAGAGAAAAATCCTGCTTTAAGTAAAATATTGCAACTGGGTTGATTCATTTCACAGAACCTCAGCAACTGAAATGCGTGTATGAAATACCAAATGGCCGTGGGGTAGGCAGTTGCATACCTGTGGTTTACTTGAAAGAAGAAGGCAAGGACTACAGCTGAGGAAGCATGTGGCTTTATTTTGACCTTTGCATGAAGACTTAATTTCAGAGCATAGCCTAGGAAACTCAGAAATGTGTACAGTCGAAACTGTCCAAGATGGCAATCCATTATCGAGATGAAAACTGGATGTCTTAGACAGATGGACGTCGTAGAAAGTGTCGTCGTTATATAGAGGAGACACGAGGGGGGGGGGTTGGAAGTAGCCGTTTGTACAAGAGGTGGTCTTGGACAGGTGGCGGTTAGAGCAGGTTTGACAGTACTTCTCTTTCAGGGCATGGATTACATCACATCTGCAGTCCAATTTAGTATAGTAGGGATCTTCATGTGACTACAAAGCAGGTTTGGCTTTTCATTAGTAAGTCTAGACATCAGCCGTAGACTTAGAGTGTAAAGATTTTTTATTCGATTGTAGTCCGCGTATTTTATTTTTTTTTTTGGGGGGGGGGTTCTAGAGGATTCAGTGGTATATTACAAACAATGTTAATTGTTCTAATAGTGTGTACACCACTGTGTCTCGTGTGATAAGGCCATACACCCTCACCTGTACAAATCCAAAGATACCGCTATTGGCCGTCTCCGATACCAGCCAGAGTCTTTTGCCACTGTCGGAGGGTTCTGCCTCAAGACGAGCCATCTCTCTTTGTATGTCCTCCAGCCAGGAGCACTCAAGGCCCTCCATGTGGATAAAGGTCGGGTTGATGGGGATCTTTGGCTTCTTCCTCAGCAAATACATTGTGGACAGCAGGCCGTCCGACTTGCGGTACACGAGGTCAAGGTCACGTTTGGCAAAGTACGACTGCCAGGTGCTGTGGTAGAAACAGGATGAACAGAACGCTTTAGACTTTCTTACAATTCTATCAGCTGTTGTCTTTCAATAAGTGGGTGTGTTAATAAAATCCTTGAATTTAAAGTTCCACCCAGCAGTTCACATTTTGTTAACCTCACAAGGAACTGGGGGGGGGGGGGGGTGTTATTAAGAAAGAAACCTTTCGTCTCATAAGAAAAACCAAACACGTAAATAAACATGCACAGATCTGAGTTATGCTCACCTGTCGGTCATGAAGCGCCCGTACTCTCGAGTGCCGTTGGTGGTGGGCAGAGTAACGTTCTGGTGTAGACCCTCCAGGGCTACAAAGAGCGGGAAGTTGTGCGTTACTTCTTGCACCAGAATGAACCCACCGGGTACAACATTGTTGACCAGATCTGTCAAAGCACTCACCACGTTGGCCTGAAACAGTTAGGAGTCAGGGGTGCATGGTGCTTAGAAAATGCGGTCCAATATTGGGGCAGTTACAAAAATAGTGCGCTTAAAGGTTGACTGCGGCTGGGGAGGTATAGCCCCTAGCTTACAAGGATGTACATGCATTGTTCAACTGCCAAACCTTGTCTTACTTTGTAAAAGTTAAGTATCATTATTCTAAAACCTTTCCAAGTCAACAAAGACTTTTTCTAATATATTTATGGACACAACAGAGTTTAGTGTCTACAGCTGATATGAACTACACTGAGAATTAACTATGTTGCTTCCATACCATTGTATCAATGTTTCACACTCCAAGCAAGACAAGTTAGAAATTTTATAGTGCTGACAAGGGAGCAAAATAATTTTATTTTAGCCTGCATCATGTTCAGAGCTTACTGACCTAAACACAATAAGATCACTGATGCTCAGCGGTGAAAAAGACAAATTACTGAACATGCACCTCAAGACTTTCCACAAAGGTAACTTACTTGTTTATGCAGTACATTTTTTAGCACCAGCAGATTGGCCTCTACACTGGGGCTGGATCCACCACTAGCTGGATCCCACGTGACTGCCTTCATGCCAGGACCTTTGAAATCCTTGGGCAGATCGTCTTTGTCTGTGGCTGTGTAGTTGATGCCACTGCGCACCTGCAGACGTGGCACAATGTGTCTGTGGGGACATATATATATATATGGCGTCACAATGCGTCCCAAGAATTTCTTTTAATTGAACATAAGAAAAGGTCTACGTTTATATTTCTATTACTTGATAAGGAACATTGTGCTGTCAATGAGAATTATTGGAAAGATATCGTATGGAAGCACTGAAAGACATGCTCACTAGCTTAAATCTTAAAACTAGATTTTTCTGACACATCAAGCTTAAATCAGCTTCTTTCAAGCACACTATTAAATTGTCAGAACTGTTTGAGAGGTCAAACGAGAAAAACATTTTTAAAAGTGGTGGATTGGACACAGGTAAAGAATCCGTTAGAAATAGAAACAGAAACGCTCTGAAATGAAACCCCCTTCAATTTGTTATCTCTGGTGGAGTGTGCACCTGTACATCCTACTGCTGGCTGCGTCCACTTCTAACACGGTGTGTTTGCCGTCAGGAAAGTTGTACTTGACTATTTCCAACGCAGCGTTTAAGATCTCTGTAGAGCTGAGACTGTCAAGAAGTCGATCTTGACTCAGTTCCGCCCTGCTGGACGCCATAATACCACTCACAGCTGTTATAGAGACGGGAAAAACAAGTTCAAGAGTGAGGTAAAACAAAAGAGTCTACGTTAAGTTACAATTGAAAGTTATGTCTTTTGATTTACACAGCAAAATTTCAAGAGCATTAGCAGCATGCATCTTGGTAAACTGCCTCCCACCGGCCTCAAATAGACTACGGTCTCCACCCAAGAAGTTAAAATACCAGTACTTTACTTGTACAACTTTACAAATAATAAGTAAACTGAAGAAAGAGAACTTGACAGTATTCCAAACATGAAAACCCGTTCGAGTGTAAGCCTGGACACAGTTGGGGTTTTTTTCCCAAGAAAAAGAATATATTTGATCCTATAGTTCTTAAACTTCAGTAAAAACTATGGAGCTACTGTTGTATTCCCTGTCCACCATTTCACATAATTAGCCAGAACAAACACGCCGAACATAGCAGACAATAAAAAGGTATACCCCTGGGATCTGTGCTTGTGCCGGCCGGAGGGAAAATTTTCTTCAGAGTTTTTGCCAACCCAGAGTTGGGAAGTTGACATGCCTTAGTTAGGTCTTCGTCGGAAGATTTAGCTGCCTTGAATCGGAACTCCTTCAGCGCGTCGGCGACAACCTGGGGAAGTGCCGTTTTCTTTGTAATAGTGTGGCTTTGGCAACAGTTAAAACAAAAATTGGAAATTTGTCCAGGGAATCACAAAATATGAAGCACGTTGATTCGTTTCTAAAGACTGAATTGAACTGGTTGCCACCTCTCACAGGAGGTAACAGTAACTACTCTAATTACTGGACTATGCAGGTCATAAAGTGTTCCAAGATACTTTGGTTTTTCACAGACGTAAGTTCATGTAACTATAAATTTGTCTGCAGGACGTCTGTCACCGACATTTTTTTTTCTTTTATGAAAGTGTTATTCTTTGCTACGAGGAACCAGAAGTGATTGATCCTTTAAACCAATGGATACTTTTTAACACTGCACAAGATGCGCATATTAGTCATTCTATTTCTCTGAGATAGCTTCAAATAGCTGCAATATACAACACCATCCATCCGCCAGGGTTTCCTGTTGCTGTACCTGCTAACATTCAAATAACGCATTCTAACTATCGCGCAACTGTTTCAAATATTGTAAACATTTTACTTTGCCAATAACAAGCAAGCATAACGTTCTTGTTCTTATCCTAGCAAGATCAAGCAGCATTTTAGTTATTCCCACAACGGTTGGACCACCGTCTTAATCAAAATACTGCAAATAAAAAATCTAGCTATCACTTTAAAAGGGTGTGTTCTGGTTGCTGTTTCAGAACTAGGAGAGTTTTTAAAAATGGTTCAAAAGTCGCCTTTTACTCCTTAGTTAAGAAAAACAAGATTAGATAATTAAGCACATAACAATAACAATATTCTGATATTACAACAATCTGTAAAACCAAAGCCCATGTCTCCTTCGTGGATAGACATTTTTCAAAACTTACACCACAGACCTAAATTGCTTACAATCGGCAATTCTAAATAAAAACCCACAAAAAACAACCTCGAATTCCAAAGAAATAAAGATCAAAATGAGAATTGCTCTCCCTCCAAATCAGCCTCACTCAACCTTTGCGGAAGTAATAGACAGTGAAAGGGAAAAAATGTATAGGACTGAAACCCACGAAGTTTTAAAAATTAGCAGATCATGCAGAAACAACTAACATCTTTGTTGTCAGAGAGCAGTGGGAAATTGCCGCCCTTGAGTGCCTCGTCCAGCCCTTTCACTGTGTACTGTAGACAGTCGGTGGCGTACTGGCGCAGAGTCTCGTCTGTGGCTTCTGGGACATTGGCAATGTAAGGTACAAACCTGCAAGGGAAGTAGGTAGTGTGTGTGTGTGTGGGGGGGGGGGGGAATTAATAATAATAATCATAATAATAATAATAGATAGCATTTTTATAGCGCATATCCCCACTCAACAGCAGGCTCTATGCGCTTTACACTATATTATTACCCCAGCAGACCATAGAACACTCCGAAACATTCTCAGCTTCCCGGGAAGCATACAGTGCAAGCAGCCGATTAAGCGCTCAAACACTAACAAACTGACAAGACCTTTCGCCGTCTATAGCCGGGTACCTATTCCCACCTGGGTGAAGTGAGGAAAATTCGTGTTAAGTGCCTTTCCCAAGGACACAACGTCGGGTCCCTGACGGGATTCGAACCCACGACCTTACGGTTGCGAGTCCGAGAGCCTAACCACTAGGCCACCGACGCCACAATTAAGATATTAAATCCGTGTAAAAGAAGGTGATTTGTCAATGTAAAGAACTGGGATATTCGTAATGTTGGGTACAAACTTGCAGGGGGGAAGAGGTTGGGGGGGTGTAACAAAGAGATTACAGAGTAAATAAAGGTGATTCGCCAATGTAAAAGAAAAATGGTAAGAGTCAGTGGGTGAAGTAATGACAAGTGTGTAACTAAAGAGACGTTGGCTTGTGGGGGCCAGTCTTTCAGTTTTTAAACCGCATTGGTCCAATTAGCTGTGTCGTTATCTCTGGACATTTGAATATAGAAAATGTACGACACAAACAGTTTTTACTGCAATGAAACAACAGTGCCTACTGCCACACTCATCTCTGCAGGTATACGCATTATTCCGGAGGCAAAAATTACGATAAACAAAAAAGCTTTTTGATTTGCCTTCAACCTTTGACCAAGGGTGTGGGCTCTGAAATGGTCTCGTTATCATGGCTTGATTAAATGTGCAATCAAAATATTGCCTTAAAAACGTCTGTGTTAGTACAGTAGCCATATGCCTGGCCATGTCTTTTTCATCCCAAAAAACATAAACAAATTGTATGAACTAAAACGACAGTCATTCCCCAACAATGTTTAGAATCACAGCTTCCCTGTTTCACCGCTGACATGAACTCAATTTAACCCCCGAGGTCATCATTTGCCTCGACATAACAATAAATTAGTTTCCAGGGTCATAACTGATAACTTAACTATTCCTCAGGTGATTACTGGTGCCTGCCCTTTTATCTCCTCTATGATGGCAAAACATTAGCAGCTGGTCCCTTGCTGAATTGTCAACCACCATTATCAAAAACTGTATTTTATTCACCCAAAATGTTTGACGTGCAGTCGAAACAGTCTGAGACGGCCCCTATTGTTTAGGAGAAAATTAGCCGCGTTAGACAGGTGAAAGTCTTATACAGTGTTATTTTTGTGTTTAAAAAACCACTAGGAAGGAAGTAGCTGTTTGTATAGGTGATTGTCAGGTGGCCATTTGGGCAGGTACGACTGTAGAATATTTGAAATTAAAAGTAGGCTGCAAAAAAAAGAACTTTGTTGCATTCTAAAAACATAACGTCACCGGTTTGGTTGTGAAACTCTCCTCCAACATCACTCCAGAAATCATATCATCATTTCTCCTGGTGAACCCTGACACGGCTGCTTCCTCGAGTAACAACCAACGAATATCTTACCTGATCTCCTCCAGAAGTGGATCCCCTGATGGGTTAGGTTGTGTGTCCACCAGGCCAAATCCGATAAACTTGAACACCTCGCTGGTGGCGTAGTCCATGGCTTGGTCATAGCGCATCTGGGACACTGGAACCAACAGTAAGCATTTAGACAACGCACACTGGTACTCGCTGAGGTTGTGGTTCGGAACCGTTAGCGCTGGTTTGCAACACAAGAAAACTGTTTTGTAATATTCAGTAATAACACCCCCCCCCCCCCAAATCATTGCAACCATCCAAACTATTTCTTAGCCTTATCGTGTAAATGTTTCTTTTTATCACTAAATCTGTTGTCTTTCTTATATTTTCAACAGTCACCCGTCTGTCTTACTACGTCCATCGTTCTTTCCGTCTCCTCTTCGCCTCTTATTCCCGCCGATGTCCTCTTCCCATTGCCACAACTGCTCTTCAATGTTTCTGGATCACCTCTTTCTCCCCCACCCCCCTTCTCTCTCTCTCTCTCTGTCTGTCTCTCTCTCTCTCTCTCTCTCTCTCTCTCTCTCTCTCTCTCTCTCTCTCTCTCCCACTACTCCTCCTCCTCTTTCTCTTCCTCTCTGCTTCCATTATTTTTTCCTTGTCCTCCCTGCGCACCTTATCTTCTCATTATTACAATCCTTCCTTTTCACAGCTTACAACAACCCCTTTCGCATCTGACATCCCTTCCCTCCATCATAACTCCTCCCTTTCACACCGTTCAACATCCCTTCCCTCAATAACGGCTCCCTCTTACAGCTTCCAACATTCCTTCCCTCCACAACTACTCCCTTTCAAAACTCTCAATCCCTTCCTCCATAGCTCCTCCTCCCTTAACCCAAGTCCTATAACAAATTTTTGTTGATGCATATTCACTTTTTATGATTTTTGCTATGTCAAAATCTCAACACCGAGATAAACAAACAATAACAACAACAGCAGCAGCAGCAGCAGCAGCAGCAGCAGCAGCAGCAGCAGCAGCAGCAGCAGCAGCAGCAGCGACGGCGTCGGCAGCAGCAGCAGCAGCAGCAACAACAACAACAGCAACAACAACAGCAACAACAACAGCAACAAATTTATTAATGCAGGTTCTCACAACACAGTAGTCAGGTTCCATTATATCACCTGGTGTCTCCACTCCAGCGTGCTGCTGCTCTATGATGTGACCTGCGTCCAGGTAGACAGCATCGAAGGAAGAGGGCGCCAGGTGGCTGTCTGCCTTCAGGATGTAGACGGCTGCTTGCAGGAAACAGTCCAGAAAGGCAATCCACTGACCTTTGTAGTCAATGTTGACCACTGAGGATGAAAACAGGACATAGGGAAGGAGAGAAACGGTTATATGGGAGGGTGAAATTATGGATGAATGAAAAATGTGTTGGGCAAAGAAGAGTTTAATGATAGAATTTGCATTACCCACACACAAAAATGAGAATTCATTTCTGCATGTCTGTTTGTCTGTCAGAGTTGATGTCTAGGAGTAAGTTTCAACAGTAGGTCTCGTATGTCTGTGTAGGAATACCTGGATACTTGGAGGTGTCATCTCTGGCTCAGAGGTTAACGTGCAATGACCCATCATTGCTTACGGTCGCTATCTGTCGTTATACACTTTGCCATACATAAGCCAGTCCATACCTTTATGCTATCGGTCAACATTGCTCATTGTCCACCATTAGCCCTTTTGTCCTACATCTTGTCTTCTAGAATTTCCTTCATAGCAATCTGGGGGCGTTTTATATGATCAAAGTATTGTATTTTTCTGGGGGGGGGGGGGGGGGTTCATTTTGATAAACAGGATTTGTCATGCAGGGGTATAATATTATTATTATTATGTCTGTTTATGTGAGCGTCTGACCATGTCTATCCGTGAATAGTTTTATTTCGGCTCTTATGTCCATTGCAAAGATCAAACACAATTTGTTTCTGTACATATTTGTCAGTTTGAACACTTTAACCCAGTAATATTTGCCTCTTCGTGAATATGCTAGTGCGAGTTCCCAGCCCTGTCTGTCAGTCCGTCTGTGTGCATGCCTATGTCTACGCCTCACCCTGTCTATCTGTGCTAGCGATGCCACGGAAAGGACCAGCATAGTCCAGTCCTCGGTGCAACAGAGTCAAGTAGATCTCATCTCGAGTCTGAAGAAAGTCGGGCTTCTTGTCGTTGCGCTTCGATTTCTGAAACAAGTGTGAAAACGGCGTTGAAACTGTTATAGGGCTGAGATGAGCAAAAGAAAGGATGTATGAACAGTAGCCACGTGCTGTTTAACCATTCTGTAAAGTAACAGACCCTCGGCGACATTTTGGAGAGAGCAACGGAGCATCAATGGACATGTCCGGAATGCAGGGATGTTGCTTCCTGAAACAATGAACAATGAACAATAAAGAATGTAAATTAAAAGCCATCCAAATGAGAGTTCCAGTATCTCAATGGGAAAGGCTGGCAAGTGGGAGACAACGAGTGCACGAACAGCCTGTATGTACACAACCTGAATCTTAATGTGTGCGGGCATAATTCTATATACAATGATTTCCAGTGTATAAGCACAGCAAAATACAATGTTTCATTGTGAAAGGACAGTATGTTACGAGAGCAGTGTTTACCTTGTCTGTGGTGTAGCAGTAAGGTGATTCGCTGCAGTCTGCAGGAGACATGAGTTCGATTCCCGAATGGCGAGCTAATCTTTATTGAGTATCTCAGGGTTTTTTTTCTGGGGTGTTGTATCCCTCTCAGCCCAGGTTGGTGAAGACAGGCAGCGTCGGAAGCCTGCCTCCTACATGTTGTAACTTGTGTTGATGTTGGCGTAAAATCACCTACATTTAAAAATGTATGCCTGTGACAACCTGACTCTTAGTGTGAGGGGATATTTTTACAAATTTCAAACATGAGGATTTTAGGGAGTAATCACAGATGTTGCAGTGTGTCAGTGTGAGAGAGCATTATATTACAGAGTGTTTCGGTGCGTGAGCACAGCATGGAGTAGACTGAGGACACATAAACATAAACATACAGACTCACAATTTTCTCGTCCAGCTCCTTCATCTCATTCTTGATCTTGGGTGCCTCAGAAGCTAGACAGATTTTGCCGTTGGCAACCAGCTCGTTGTTCTCTGTCACCTCAAACTCCCCAGTGCGTAGCAGACGACACGTGAAAGTCAGTTTACCTTAAGGATAGGACACGAACGTTTTCAGCATTGTCCTCAACAGAGACATCATCATTGTCCTTATATACAACACTAGCAATAGCCACAACTGTAAATTCTGCAGTTGCTACATGTGTTTCCATCACAAATACAGCTCTTCTGCGTTGGGGGGGGGGGGGTCAGTTTACTGGACATAATAGGTATGTATTTTTAAGGTAGAAAACAAAGTCCTTCGACTAGACCAC